AACCTGTTACCTTGATTAAAACATTTCTTCATTTGAGCAGTTAACCCTGTAAAGCCTGGCATATGAAATTGTATGCATTATAAAGTGTACTTATCTAATTATGTGTAATAATTATTATAATATTTTATGGTATTTTTGTGCCACCAAGAATCTTTTTAGTCGTTTTACATATTAGATGACATACGTTTATTTGATCACCTTCCAGAAAATAATAGAGTTGACATTTGTGCTTAAATACCAAATATAAATGGTGATTATGTGCATTTCGTGTTACCGATGTCTTGTTGTTGCACTATAATAATGCTGTGTTGTGTTCTGTTTTAGGTCCATGGAGGTGGAGGGTATGACTCAGATTTCAGTGAGGATGATGATGGTGGAGGGCAGTCCAAAAATGGCGAGAATAGGTAAGAGTTTGTCTTATATCACTAACAAAAAATACCATGATTTTTAGTGTCAATATGCAATATTTTCGAACATGTAATTAACACAGTACCTTGCCACATTAAAGGAATAGTTCACCTAAAAATGAAAATTTGCTGAAAATGGCCATTTAAGATGTAGATAAGTTTGTTTCTTCATCAGAACCGATTTGGAGAAACGTAGCATTGCATCACTTGCTCACCAGTGGATCCTCTGCAGTGAATGGGTGCCGTCAGAATGAAAGTCCAAACAGCTGATACAAACATCACAATAATCCACAAGCGATCCAGTCCATGAATGTCTTGTCTTGTGAGGTGAAAAGATGCATGTTTGTAAGAAGCAAGTCTATCAATAATCAGTTTTTTTTAACTTCGTACAAGTGCTCTATCCATACTATTGCGTTCTCCAGTGTAAAAGTCGTTTTGTCTTAATCAGGAGAGAAATATGCACAGATCAAGCAAGTGAAAACAGTCCAAAATGGCTCTAAACAAATATGTGGATGGATTTTGATGTGAGGACTTTTTTAACTGGAAGAAGTGTTATTATGGGTTATGATCTTGTATTTTAGCTGGAAGCGGCAATTTAAGTTAGAACACCATAATGATGACTTTGTTTCTTACAAACATGCAACTTTTTGCTTTACAAGATGTTAATTCGTAGACTGGAGTGGTGTGGGCGAAGGTCAGAAATAAAGAAATTGGTTAAAAGAATGGGATTAAATACATAAAGGATATTTGTGTTGTTTAACATTTAATTATTGCAGGTTTGCGTATTCTGAGTTGTATTATTTTTATTCATTTTGAGGAATACTGAATCTGTTTAGTTTTTTTGTGCGAGTGAGATGAATTAATGCATATTCATATTTATTTTAGAACTACAGTAACATCTTCTGATTTCTCTCAACATGGGGACAGGAGAGCTGTCAATCAATAAATTGGGGGTTACAAAGTAACTTGCGTTACTTATTTGAAAAAGTAACTCAGATATTCTCTTGTAAATTAAAAAGTAATGCGTTACTTTACTAGTTACTTGAAAAAAGTAATCTGATTACGTAACTCGCGTTACTTGTAATGCGTTACCCCCAACACTGCATAGGATTACGTTTTTTAGGCTAAAATACTTTTCTGGACATGTTCTCTTTTAGTATCTTAAAGGGGTCATCAGATGTGACATGCACTTTTACAAGTTGTTTGAACTGAAATGTGTGTTGGCAGTGTGTGTACACAACCACCCTAAAATTATAAAAATCCACCCAGTGGTTTTTTTTAATCTACTCAAATCTTTACCCCTTTCTCAAACTGAGCCGATCTCAGATACCTGTCTGTGTGACGTCACAAAAACAGGCCCCTCCCACGATAGTTTGATTGACCGTAGCGTTTCAGCACAGACTGGACTGGCGTCTTACCTTAGCTCCGCCCTGAGTGTGCTGTCATCAGTCCACCATTGTTTCACCGCCGGAGCAGATGTAGACAAGAATGACTCCTAAGCGATTGAGGTGTTCTGTTGTTGGATGTAATAATGAACATAGCAGTCGTCATTTACGCCGACATCTGAGCCGCTGAAGACGCAGTGGATTATGTTTGTTTCTGAAGGGAATGCGCCCCCTATCTACATAAATGCGTCTATGTTCGCGCGAATCATTCGTGATCCAGCTTTACCTACAGTGAAGAAGTGAGTATAAGGTTTTTTTTAATGAATCTTTGCAAATCGCTTTCCTAAAAATGTGCTAATTAGCAAGTTTCACGATGAATGCGGCTAAAGTAAACAGTCTCTCTGAGAGCAGCTCGGAAGCGAGGGGCGGGGTCAGCAGAGCTCATTAACATTTAAAGGTAAATGCTACAAAACGGCTTGCTCTGAAAAGAGCTGTTTTTGACCGGGTAAAAAAGGGTGTTTTTACACTAGCATTGAGAAATTTTAACCAAACTATGTTACAGACTTTTCATTAAGACCCTAAAGGATCATATCAACTTGTGGAAAATGGGCATCTGATGACTCCTTTAAATGCTCTGTCATTTCTGATTTACTGAATTAGAACTTTTCTGTTACTAGTTTGGATTTCGGTGGCGCATCGAAAATGAAGTAATATCTGGAAAAGGTAATTCAAAAACATTTCTACTCTTCTGTACTTGTATATAAAAAATATGTTCACACTTTAGTTTCTCACTATTAACTAACTATTAACTGTGATTTTTGCCTCAATAAACTCCTAATTTGCTGCTTATTAATAGTAAGGTATCGGGTTGGATTAAGGGATCTAAAATATGGTCATGCAGAATATGTGCTTTATAAGTACTAATAAACAGCCAATATGCTAGTAATAATATGCAGCTAGTTAATAGTGAGAATTGGTCACTAAAACATGAATATGTTGACATGTTTGAAGCATTCTGGTTGCACAATGAACAAAACAGAAGTCTAAAATTCAGAGCGATAACTAAAAAATAACGACTTCAGCCATTAGGTGGTGATAGTGTTTTACTCTGGGTAAAGTAACACTGTCATCTGACCAAACCAGGGATGGACTAGGAATGAAAAACAGCTTGACTGGCCCATCTCAGCCAGGAAGAGCTGAAAAATAGATGTTTTTGCAGTTAATTTGCATAATAAATAAGCAACCTATATCTAAACTGATCAGCTATTTAAGAATCCAAATGTTTAAATCAAACCCGAATACACTTGTTTTCCCATTAAAATAGATATAGAGGCACATTTGATTACATTTTTATTTAATCAAATTTGATCTTGAACTGTTGATGCTGAATATTCATTTCAGAGTAATTCAGTTGCAGATTATTACCGTTTAGCATATATATTATAATATGATAGTGACCTAATTGACCTAAGGTGGTGAGTTTGCCTGTGTCATAACAAAAATCAATGATTTTGAATACTGTTGTCTCTGGGTCGTGGTTCACGGTTAAGCTATCTTGGTAGGTAAACAAGAGTGAAGTACGTGTAAGAATCAGTGAAATTACACAAACAAATAGGCAAATCCATGAAGAGTGATGAAATGATCGCACGCTGTCACACTTGTCATGATTTTTCTGACCATCTGCCTTCAGGTATCGCTCGCACCCTGAGCCACAGATTGACCACCGCAAGCCACCGAAATCAGTGTTTTGATTGCCTCTTTATTATAGTTTTAATTAATCTGCTGCATCATCATCAGATGTTAATCATCTATATTATCCCATACATTAGAATGTGTCCTGTTTATTATTATTTTTCCAGAGCAAAAAAAAAAGACTGTCACACATTTTTACTACGACTTAAAGAAGACATCCACTAAAATGTCATTCAGTGTAACAATAATTCAGTACAGGTCAGAATACGTATGTTTCAAATTTCATTTTTACATAAATATAGGAAAAAAAAGGTAATTGTGACTTTTTATCATAACTAGTTTATACGAGTTTATAATCCAATTCTGAGTTTATAGCTCGCATTTGAGTTTGTTTGTTTTTTAATTCCTCCATGGTATTAAAAAGGTAATTGCATCTTATCTCACAATTTGAACTTTTTCTCAGAATTCTGAGTTTACATCTCAATTTTTTCTGTCACAGAAAAATAAGGGTAATTGTGACTTTTTAACTCTCAGCTCTGACTTTTTCTCAGAATTGAGTTTATATCTCGCAGTTGAGTTCCTGTTGTTTTGTTTGTTTGTTAGTTTTAATTCTGCCATGGTATAAAAACAGGTAATTGAAACATTTTATCTTTCAATCTAAATTTTCCTCAGAATTCTGAGTCACAGATTTTATTTTATTTAATTTTTTTAACTTTTTAACTCTCAACTGACTTTTTTGTCTCAGAATTGCGAGTTTATTTCTCACAATTCTGACTTTATATCTCACAGTTGAGTTTCTATCTCACAATTGAGAATAGTTTTTTTTCCAGAATTGTGAGAAAACAAGTCAGGATTGTGAGATATAAACCTATAATTGTGGAGCCCGGTCTCATGAAAATTAATATAGATAGTACGCCAAATAAAAACGAAAACTCGTGGTATTGATACGCAAAAATGGACTTTGGCGTGTATGTGCTACGCACATGTTTGGCGTGCATATAATACGCAGTTTTCGCGTGCATATGATAGGAAATTTGTTGGCGTGGATATGATATGCAGTTTTCAAGTACATATGATAGGAAATTTGTTGGCGTGCATATGATATGCAATTTTCACGTGCATGATACGAAATTTGTTGGCATGGATATGATATGCAGTTTTCAAGTACATATGATACGCATCTACCCCACAACCCTAATCCTACCCATCGCGTAGCATATACACGCCAAAGTCCATTTTTGCATATCAATACCACGAGTTTTTGTTTTTATTCGGCGTACTATTTATACGCACTTTCATGAGATCGAATTAAATTATGAGGAAAAAAGTTTGAATTGTGCTGTAAAAAGTGACAATTACTTTCATTTTTTCTTCCCTAGTGGAAATAAGCTTCCATACTTTAAGCAGTTGATTTTTAGCAGAAGTGTGCTTGGGCTCAGGTGATCAGATACAGGCCAAAGCCGATCCAGACGGCACACTGTCAGAGGTGTGGGAAGCCTGGCAGAAAAACTCCCTGATGACGCACTTTTCCCTCGGCTCCAATCTGGAGGATCCCCTTGTAAACCTGCTGGAGCTAATGTCAGCCCGCTGATATCTGAGGTGAAGTGTTGGCCAGGCCAAGGTCACGGGAGGAGAGTGGCTTTCGCTCTGTCTGTCTCTCTCGCCGTTTTCTGTCAGTAATAGCAGCGAAATCACGTGCAGCAGTTACAGCCTGTTCTCCGCTTGGCTTCTCACTGCTTATGTTCTGCATGTATTTTCATCAGGCAGAATCAGTTTAATCCAGGGGCTGGATTCACAAAACATCCTTATGAACAAAATCCTTCATTTTCTAACATCAGAATAAAGTTAAGAATATTTAGTATTCCCAAAAACATTACGTAAGAATATTTGGTAACACTTTAGAGGTAACACTATTCACTATTAACTAGTTGCTTATTGGTATGCATATTACTAGCATATTGGCTGTTTATTAATGCCTTATTCTACATGACCATATTCTAGATCTCTTATTCCTACTCCATAACAACTACCTTACTATCAATAAGCAAATAATTAGGAGTTTACTGAAGGAAAACTCTGTGTTAATAGTGAATCTAAAGCATTACCAAATATTCTTCTGTGTATTTTGTTGATCCTGACAACATTGCTGTGCCAAAACATATTCCTATCTCTAAACGTAACCCTAACTGTAACTTACCCCTGAAATCAAAGGGAAATTATAGTTAATAAACACTGGTTGTGAGCCTAAACTTGACACTAATTGTAAATGTATACCTCATCTGATTGGAATTGGGTTGACATGTGAGTAGGCAGTCCTTAATTGTTGTTTGGGATGCATTAAGGCACATTATACATAGGGTTGGGTACCAAAACCCGGTACCAATATGGCACCGGTACCTATGTAACCGGTATGTACTAGAACCAAATCAGAACGCAGATTTCAGTGCCTCATTTCGGTGCCATGCCTGAGCGATCGATTGAAATATTTGTCCTCTGGTTCTCTGAAACGAATGTAAGAAGCATCATCACCGGCACTCCGACTTAAAAGCTCAACTCGGGAAACGAGAGCATCCGAGGAGTGTGTGAATGCAGCAATTACACTTGCTCTGATGGCAGCAGGTAGCCTTCCGTTAACTAAGCTAAACATGCTTAAATTAAAATGCCTAAAGCTAAACTTCCCTTGTATTCACATTTCTAAACTTCTCCAACAAAAGAGAACATTATAACCTTTTTACTCCACAACACCAGTCAAGTGCTTCCTTCTGTGATCTGATGGGGCTTCTTGTCACAGAATGAGGCAGAAAATATGTTCCATAGGCTACTTTAAAAAGAATACATCGATTAGCAATGGATTATAAATATACCAGAGATGGCTTGAATAACACAGATAAACTATATTGTCGCAGTCGAGTGTTTATTGTCTTTGTTTTATCATTCAAAACGTTTATATGTTCTGTTTACTCAGTTACAGCTATAATAGCAATGTCTTTGTCCGTATAAGGGATTTCCTGGAGGGTCATGAGATCCGCTGTGTCTGGATATGTGGATATTCTGTGCGAGAGCACCCTCTGGCGAACAGTATGAATGAAACGGACATCATGTGTTTATAGTGCTAATGGCCAATCTATTATTT